CTCATACCCACTTTAAAATTAGGTTGAATGTCTTTTAATAGGTGAGTTCTTAGAGTCCTTTTAATCCTTAATTTTAATTGGACTGAGGATAATTGCCCATCAGAAAGGAGATTTTATCTCCATATTTCTGAAAATATTTAAATTTCCCCACAATTTAAAGGGATGCTTCATCAGTCTTTCTTGTTTATTTTCAGAATATTTCCATAAAAATGCAAGGATCAATTATGAAAATAGGTTACAATTTTCCCTCCTCACTGCAGACTCAAGGGTTACAAGATGAATCTTGTATTACTTTCATTTTTGTAGTACTTTCCATACTTGTAATAAGTTTTTTTTTTTTTTTTTTTGACAGGCAGAGTGGACAGTGAGAGAGAGAGAGACAGAGAGAAAGGTCTTCCTTTGCCGTTGGTTCACCCTCCAATGGCCGCTGCAGCTGGCGTGCTGCGCTGATCTGAAGCCAGCAGCCAGGTGCTTCTCCTGGTCTCCCATGGGGTGCAGGGCCCAAGGACTTGGGCCATCCTCCACTGCACTCCCGGGCCACAGCAGAGAGCTGGCCAGGAAGAGGGCCAACCAGGACAGAATCCGGCGCACCAACCGGGGCTAGAACCCCGTGTGCCGCGGGGCCACTAGGCGGAGGATTAACCTGTTGAGCCACGGCGCCGGTCTGTGATAAGCTTTTTAACCACTGTCATGGACTCACTAAAAGTCAGTCAATCTAGTAGAGTTATATTTTACTTAGAAAACTCTACAAGATACAGTCGAAATTAGAGATGTGGTAAATGGTCAGAGAAGTAATAACCTTTAATAAATGAAACATAGTGGCTGTTAATTTTGTTTTGTCTCAATTTTATATCTTAAGTTTTACCTAACCTAAATATCAACCCTTTCTCTCATGTTCATTGCAGCACAATTCACAAAAGCTAAGATATGGAATCAGCTCAGATGTCCATCAACTATTGACTGGATAAAGAAAATATCATATATATACACTACAGATAAAAAATTAAAAAAAATGAAACCCTGTCTTTTGCAACAAGATGGATGCAACTGGAAACCATTATACTTAGTGAAATAATCCAGTCCCCAAAAGCCAGATATCATATATTTTTCCTGATCCAAGGTAACTAATAGAGTACCTGAAATATAATATATTGGTGTGAAATAGACATTTTGATATTTGATGATTGTTTATAGCCCTGTTTCTACTGTTGAGGAACAGTTTTTTTTTTCTCTTCATAGTATTTGTTGAACTCTTACTTAGAGTAGGGTTAACTATATGATCATTAATATACTGAAAATAGATCTTTGTACAACTTAATAGGGGGATATGAGAGGGAGGGGAAGGATGGGAGGGCGGGCAGGTGAGGGGAGAAATGCCACTATGTTCTTGAACCTGCATATATGAAAAGCATGACTCTTGTCTAATTTAAATTAAATTGAAAAAATAATAATAAAAACAAAAAAGCAGCCCTTTTAGTAAGATATATATTAAGGCTCTGTGATAAAATGGGGATAGAAAAATATAGCTTTGGATTTTTGGTTATTTCTAGTGAATAATCTGTTTTATCTTTCTTTCTAAGGTAATCACACATTACATTGCAAGGCCTCTGTCCCTAATCCTCTTCAATACACACACACACACACAAACAAAACTACTATATATTATTGTATTTTATTTATTTGAGAGGAAGGAGGAGAGACTGAGGGGGAGAGAGAGAGAGAGAGACACTCTACCTACTGACCCATTTCCCAAATGCTCACAACAACCGGAGCCAGGAATTCAATTCAGGTCTCCCATGTGGGTGGCAGGAGCCTAATCACTTGAGCCATCACCACTGCCCTCCAGGGTCTGCATTTGCAGGAAGCTGGAGTCAAGAGTGGAGCCAGATATCAAACCCAGGACTCTAATATGGCCTCGGGTGTCTTAACCACTAAGCTAAATGCCCAATGGATAAGGTACCAATTAAGCTACCACAGAGAAAATAAAGAGAGGCCAAGAAGACAGAGATACATGATCTAAAGTTTCAACAAAAATATTTCTCTCTTCCTACACAAGAATAGGGAAGAGCTTGAATGTATGTGGCCCGGGCTAGCAGACTAAGAAGGAAGAAAACAGGACCCTGTTGTTAAGTCTGTTATTGATTGTCTATTACACATACCTTAATACTGTTAGAAGGATCAGTTGGCTCCAGAAGCTGTAACCAATCACTTGTCACAGTCCAACACCAAACTAAAGATTTTTCAGCCCCTAAACTCTAGATTTTGCCCATGGAGTACTGTTTGCCTACTTGGTTTTTGAATCAACATTTAAACTCCAGGAGATTTAAAACACAAATCTTATAAAAATAGGACAGTTGGGTCAAAATGGGGCTCAGGTGTTCAATGGTAACAATGAGATGGATCTGAAGGATGGGCCCTTCTTTTGGATAGGGTATTTGTTCTCTCTTTTGCAATGCACCGTTTGTACTTGCTACTGTTTCCCTACCTTTGAGACTATTGGTTTTAGCATTGAAATATTATATACATACATAAAACCAAAATTTCCCCCACCTAGATTGCCTGCTTATTGCACCCCCTGTGTGGGACATTTGAGTTTGTAACTATGTCATTTTTCCTTTCCTTCTTTTTCAAGATTTATTTATTTATTTGAAAAGCAGACTGACAGAGAGAGGAAGAGAGAGAGAGAGAGAGTGCTCTTCTGTCTGCTTGTTTACTCCCCCAAATGGCTGCAACAGTAGGGGCTGGACCAGGCTGAAGCCAGGTGCCTGAACTCCACCTGAGTCGCCCAAGTGGGTGGCAGAAGCTCACATATTTGGGCTGTTCTCTGCTGCTTTCCCAGGTGCAGGGAGTTGAATAGGAACTGGAGCCATCTGGGACTCAAATCGTTGCTTTGATATGCGGTGCTGGCGTCTCAGGCAGCAGCTTAACTTGCTGCATCACAACGCCAGCTCCACTAAGTCAGTTTTCTATGGCTGCCATTAAAAATGACCATGAACGTGATGACTTTAAAACCGTAGAAATGTCTTCACAGTTCTGGAGGCAGGAAGTCTGAAATCACCGTGTTAGCAGGGCCCTGATCCCAGCACAGACTCTAGAACAGAAACCATCCTTTGCCTCTTAGAATTTGAATTGGTTTGTTACTGGGCTGTATCAGTCCAGTCTCTGCTTCAGTCTTCACATGGCCCTCCCCTCTTCCCCCTTAGTCTCACCATGGTGTGATTCTCACAAGGACACTTGTTACTAGATCATTCAGATGATCTCATCTTCAGATCCTTAACTTTTTCCAAATAAGGCTACATTCACAGGTTCTGAGAAGGAAGACATGGACATATCTTTTTTGGGGGCCAACTCTTAGCTCACTACTGTTATCACACTGTAGAATTCTGGAGGTTGATCAAGCAGTGTGGAGTTGTGGTTGTGCTGTTCATCAGGATAAAATAATGGAATAAGAACAAAATTGTAATTTTGTAATTACAAAAGAATAATTTTCTCTCAAATCTTAGTGTGCCAAGGCAATCAAAAACTCTCAAACTCCAGTATTCCCACACATTAGCAAGTTGCTTTAGGAAAGACTTAGCTTCTGTGATCAGTGAATTCCACCTTGGCTTAATGTATTTGTGTACTTGCTTGCATGACCTTGGCCATGGTCCTTAACTAGGTATATTATCATCTGCTTACTGTTTGCAGTTGCCTAAAACCGCAAGAACCATGTGAAAGGTGCTGCATGTATGAACATTTGGATTAAGTTAGAGCCAAGACTCTCATTTCTGCTAAATGAGGGGATGGTGCAGCGAGTAGGAGGGATGTGAAACTAGGTAGAATATAAAAATAGGCAGGCAGAGAACTAGACCTAGTTCTGTGCAGCAGGCAACTCTGCCAAATGGCGTGAACATCAGGAAGCCAATTTTCTCAGAAAGTTCTCTTGTCTGAGTCCATTAGACTAAATTCTAATAAGACTATCAGAGATGGTCCCAGCTCTTATCTGAGGCTTCACTTGGTCAGGAATGCAGGGAAGCTGATACAGAAAAAATAACCAGGAGTATAAACAGCATAAAATTTATTCAGAATTAGTGTGTGTGTGTGTGTGTGTGAGAGAGAGAGAGAGAGAGAGCGAGCGAGCCAGCGACAGGGAGTGAGCTACAGAAAGGGAGAGAGAAGAAAGAGACAAAGAGACAGACAGCCAGAGAGACAGAGAGCAAACATACCTAGTTTTCCGCACAGCCCAACTATACATAATTGGGTGATTATGCTTTTATCCTTAGAGACATGTAGCTGGAAGAGGTTAGTGTTGCCCTTCTAAGATTTGGTTTTTCTTTGCTGGGACATGGTAACTAGGCAGCAAGAAGCTGGGCCAAGAGGCTGGTCAGAGGCTACCCAAATAGCTTTGCTTAACTATGGGCTACAGCTGGGGGCTTGAGGGGCTGGGGAGGTAGTAGTTGGAGAGAAGTGCCTGACATTCTTCTATGCTGACATCAAGCTTCCAAGCTGCTGCCCTCTGGTGAGTCAACAGCAAAAGGCCCACATCACCCGAGCGCAGCTGCCCAATCAGAAGATGTGGTGCCACACCTCAGAAATCTTTCTAAACCTCAGCATTGTGCAGGCTTCAAAGGGCTCCTTCCGAGAAAGAATGTAGAAATGATTAAAGTTAGCAGCACAGAACCTGAAATAACAACAACAAGATAAATTCCACATTTCCTTTTAATGCAATTTATGACCGTACATAGCTATTCCCCTGCACTTTCTCACTTAAAAAAATATTTCAAGCTTTTCTTTTCATGCTGAGACAAGAGGGCATACTAAAGGACTAACTGGTACGCTGAGGGTTTCTGGATGTTGAACACAAAATGAACTAGAGTGAGACTGTTTTACTGGGATGCCATTAAATCCAATGACATTTATTACAACTCAGCATATCCGTAGCTTGCTAACTATTTGAATTTAAGTGTAAGTACGCATCTATAGAAATTCACTAGTAAAAGGAAAATTAAATCTGGGCTCTTTGTTCATCTTACTAATCAAAGTTGTGATATAAAACAACCTCCAAAACTGGCTGGAGGAGTTGCCATAGAACCTCCTAAACAGAATCCACTCACCTGAGACGCAGAAAGGCAATCACTGACATTGGGGCTGTGAAAGAAAGGAGGCACTTAATGCAATGCACGGAGCGAGCAGGTGGGCACTATCACTTAATTTCCAGGCTTGCTAAGGGGTTAGGTGTGAGGGAAGGTTCTTATGGGTTGAAGTTGGGATGAAGGACACATGTTCAGCCTGGTTGAATGATGGTACTTATGTCCTTCCTTTATTTGGTCAACCATAGTGTGTTTTCCAGGGATTTTTATGATAGCCAAGTGGGCTTCAGTAGGTCTGGGGGCTACAAGCAGGTGGTAATTAACTTTCTGCCCTGGACCTAGAATTCCCCAAAAAGAAAAATCTGGAGACAATATCAACGATCAAGGCATTATCTATTGGAGAAGCAAATAACCTCATGAACCTAGTGATTAGAACCTTGGAGGGCCAGCAGTACCACTCCCTCAATTTATTGAGTTAATTTTAGTAAGTGGTTGATTTGCTATCAAAAAGTCAGGGCAAGGACACGTCCATCTAAGGGAGGGAGGCCAGGCAACAGGTGCCTGATGGCATCCAGCATCTACATTCCAGGCACTGTACACTTTCAATTATGTTGCTATTTAGTAATTTCTCTACTGAGCAAAAATCATTGGGGAAATATCATACATGAGGCCAAGATATAAATTATTTCTTTGTGCATCATAAACTTTCTTGTCAGGTAAGAGCAGAGTCCTTGCCTCAGCATATGGCACTGCCATATCGTGGAGTCCATAAAAGGGAATGGCGTTGTAAAGATTAACTGGATTTTACTTGGCAAGGCCAGGCATCTAGATGACATGCTGTATACAGTTAGAAGTGGAAAGGGAATCTAGCTGGAGGCCACGTGACATTTTGGCATTTGTTTTTCTTACCATCCTGACACCTAGTTGTCAAGAGCAGAGCTCATTTGTCCAAGTGAGGATGCTGTCTGTGTGGTTTTGGGGATGAGGGAGTTCAGAAATAATGTCTGTGGCACTGTAACACCCCTAGGAAAAGAGAGAAGAATTGACCCGACATGAAGAAAAGCATACAGCCAGCACTAATTCTGCTCCCTGAAGGACTGGGAAATCTCTTCTTTCTTACTTCTCTTACATGCTGGGACTAAGAGATTGAAGGAAGACTGGATTATACTTGCTTATTCATCTCATTAATTATTAATTAATTCATCTGTTCATCCACTTCTTGTTCATTCATTACATAAATGTATTTTGCATATCCCAGATGCCTAGCAATGAAGATATACCGTTATTATTTTCAAATGACTAACAGAGGAGGAAACAGGGAACAAAATAATACTTGTGATGTAATATAATTAGTGCACTAATGAGAGTAACCAGGTTGAGCTCTTATTCAATACCAGGAACTTTGCTAGCAGCTGTGAGTGGATCTCTACAACACTGCAAGAAAAGGTGTTTTGCTATTACTCCTTTTGGAGGAAACAAAGGTCTAGAGAGATTAAGTCCCAGAACCTGGAAGGAATGAACAAAAAATACTTAAACCTAAATGTTTTGATTCGCAGTTTGAGTCCTTAACCACCCACTTGCAGATCTGAGGAAAGATGACTGAAATTGCAACAACTACAGTGACTCTTGAAAGCAAAGTAAGTCTTTAAATGAGGGTACTTGTATGTTGGCTGAGATATCGCAGGCTTGTGATGACTTGTAGGCAGAGACAGCTGCACATGTGAAGACCATGGAAGGTGTTATCGTCAGAGGAAATGAAAGTGATTAAATAGTCTTGGAGGTTTCCGTGGGTGTTCTGGTTTTCTATTACTGCACACAGCAACACTCCAAAATTAGTGGTTCAAATAACTATGACCCATTGATTTAGCTCATGAATCTGCAATTTGGACAGGGTTTGGAAAGGACAGCTTCTCTCTTTTCCATGCAGTGGTTAAGGATGAATGGGCACCATAACCTAATAAACATCACTACTTTGCTTACCAAAAATAAAGGATGCTTGGGCAGCTGGGGCTCTTCCTGCATCTCTATTTTTATGTGATCTCTTCACATGGTCTCTCAAGCATGGCATCTTCAGGTGGCAGAACTCCTTACATGCAGCTTAGGTCTCCAAGGGAAACCTTCCAAAAGAGGGAGTCAGATAGAAGCAATACCGCCTTAGATGATCTAGCCTTGGGACTCATATAGCCTCACCTGTGTTCAACTCAGTTGATTGAAGGGATCACAATGTTCTAACGAGATTCAGGAGGCAACATAGATTCCACTTCAAATGGAGGAGTGGTAAGGTTTAGGAAAAGCTTGTGGGACCAGAAATACTGTTGCAGTAAGGTATTGAAACTCAAGTAGGATAAAGGCAGCATAGTGCAGTCATAAGAATAGATCTGGAGTATGATAGGCTTTGACTTAAATTATGGGCTGTGCCATTTATGAGCTCAGTTACTTTGGTCAAGTTGCTTAACTCTAGTCTCAGTTTTCTTATCTGTAAAATGAGGATACTAGTACTGATCTTTCAGAGTTGTTAAAGATAAAATAATATCAATACATGTGTTCACAGAAGGAAGTGGCACAAAGTCAGTACTTCACACACAAGAGATGTGATTATTGATGGGCCAACAGCAACACAACTGGAGAGGGAGAATGAACCTGGTTGAGGAAGGGCTTCTGCAGCTAATAACAATAAGTTGGTGAAATATTGTAATAATAGTCAAAAGTTACCGGAAACTGCGCAAAGGGCTAGGCTCTTTAAGGGAACTACGTCATTGAATCTTGGCAACAAATCTATGTAAAAATGACTATTTTTAGCACATGATGAGGAATTTGAGGACTAAAGAGGTTAAGAAACTTTCCTAAGTTGCTAAGTAACAAAGACAGGATTTGAACTTAGGTAATGGCTTTATCAGAACCTATACGGAGAGAGGATACATTTTAACCTGAAGGCTATTAGAAGCCATTAAAACTTTTAGAATAGGACAGTCTTATGTTCAAACTTGCTGTTTAGAAAGCCACATGGAATGTGCATTTGGGGCTGGGAGCAAGAACAACTAGAAGATGGTTAGTTGAATTCAGGTGAGAAATATTGAGACACTTGGAATACTGATGATAGCATTTTTATTATAGTATTTTATATCTATTTTTATGACTACACTATGCTGCCCTTATCCTACTTGAATTTCAAAACATTACTGTAACTATTTCTGGTCCCACAAACTTTTCCAAAAGCTTTACCGCTTCTTCATTTGAAGTGGAGTCTATGTTCCCTCCTGAATCTCGTTAGAACATTATGAGCCCTTCAATCAACTGAGCTGAACACAGGTGAAGCTATATGAGTCCCAACTATAGTGTGGGAGATGTCATGAGGACCTAAGAAATTAGTGGCAGTTATCTTAGGCCACTGGTTGGGTGTGAGGAGAAAGAGCCAGCATCTGTAGCCATTAGTCAGCTTTGAGTGTAGGCACTGGCATGTGCTTTATTACTCAGGGCTCTACGTGGAGAAAGAAAACAACCCCAGGGTGTCTTCTAGCCTAAAGCATATTTTCTAAGTCTTTGCACTCTTGGTCTAGACTAAAAACAAACAAAGTAGACGCCTCTGAAATGCTGGAAACCCTCCCCACTTTTGAAACTCTCAGATCTATTACCTCGCAATTCTAGCTTTCAAATTCCATGCTTAGCTTCCTTTCCCACACCCCAAGTCCCTGTGCTGGAGATTACAATGATCATTTGTATGTACCAGATGATTGTTCTGCTTCAGGGGCTTCGAGGAGGGGGATGGCCTAAGGCTGCTTTCTCCTTTCCTCACTTCCTTCATGCAGCACTTGCAACTACACCTGCAGCTTGTTAGTTGCTATTGTGGTTGATTGACTGGTCATCCCAGTCTTCCAATAGGATCAGGGTTGGTGCTATTGTGTGGCCTTCAAGCAATCAGAGATGCTTATTTGCTGTGCCATGGTTTCAGGGTGAACTTTCTTTAGGTACACAACAGTGCTTAGAAAGAGAAGGAATATGTGTCTTTAGGTAAGGCGTGCTGTATCTCAGATTGAGAACTTCAACCTATTGCTGGGTCAAGGTCTGATAGGTAAATCAGTCATTTTTGGAAAAGTTAAATAAAAGAGCCCCACAGATAACACAGCCAGCCTAGTTTTTCTATGAAAATATTTCTTTCCAAAGTATTTTCTTAAACTGCAGTGATTTCCCAGGTGGGTGCAGGGGCCCAAGGACTTGGGACATCTTCTACTGCTTTCCCAGGCCATAGCAGAGAGCTATGTCGGAAGTGGAGCAGCTGGGACTAGAACCAGCACCCATACGGGATGCTGGCACTGCAGGCAGCGGCTCTGCCCGCTATATCACAGCATCAGCCCCACATTTTATCTTTCTTACTGTTTTCTTTATAATAGGATTAGTCTCTGAAAAGTGGTTTTACTTTATTCCAGTATAACTTTTTTTAAACAAGCCATGGCCTCTCCCAGTAGGCTATGGAAATTGGCATTTGATAGAACAACTTTTGTCCATTGATTTAGGTGTTCTGTGTGCTCCATTTAATTCTGTTTCTGACAACAGATAAGAAGAGAATATTATTCTAATTGTAAGAACACTTGCCTATAATTATTGCTTAGTCATTTAATAAATAGCTATTGACTGCCTTTTTTTTTTTTTTTTTTTTTTTTTTTGCTGTGCTGGTCTCTCCAGTTACAAGTTAGTTAAGCTACGAGTGTAGACTCACACAGTTTGGTCACAGGCCTGCTTGGGGATCTTAAACCAAGTTCCCATATTAAACCAGGCGCTTAAATTTGATTTTGCACACTGAATTATTCCTTTAGCGAAATTGTCCAATATGCCTTGATTACAACTAATTTTTTTCATTTACAGGCAAAAAAAAATTCAAGAAGTTTTAAGATTTAAAAATTTCCCCCAAATGGTTTATATTTAATTGTGCATTTTCCAATGAAACTCACTAAATTGATGAATGGCAGTGAGTGACTAACTGATGAAGTCATATTGTCTTGTTACAGGCTACTATAAACACTGTGAAGTAGCAACAGATTAGAATATAAAAGTTAAAGAAAGGGCAAATCTTTGTTCAGAGTCATTTTTTTCTTGTAAAATAGGATAACAAACTACTCAACATTAGACCCAAAACAAAACAAAAATCCCTCAAAAACAAACATATTTTGATAAAACTGCTCTTCCTTTAATTAAAAATCGCAGGGAAGGAATTATTTTTCTGTTTTTCACAGAAGTAAACCTCTGGCTTAGGACAGCGTCAGCAATTTAATCACATTTTCCAAGCATATAGAGCAAATAAGAGGCAATAATTTGTCAGTCATAAAGATAAGCCAAGGAATGGAGATACTTTTGTAGGTCACGTCACCTGACAAACTTTGGACGGATCTTTTCCTGGTTCAGAAGTTCAGCCGTAAGACCCACTTTCCCTATCAGCTGGCTCAAGATGACAGGTCCTGAAGTAAGCAAAGGTCCTTTATGAGCTTTTATTTAATTGTCCTTGTGACATAAAGGTTGTAGGGATTGGTCTGTGCACAGCAACTGCTGGTTGCTCTAGTTTTCTTTTGAATAAGTTGCTGTCTCCATGATCAAGCAAGATAAATGAGACTTGTTTAAATACTCCTCATGAAATTCTTAGTGCTGAGTGCAGAACTTTTTATCCCTAACAGGTTTCCTGTGAGTGCTTATTGAAGGAATAACATAAGCTCAGTCTTAGATAAGCGATTGGCCAGGGATAAGCATGACTCAAGACCAGAGTAAGTAAGAGTAAGCAGTGCATTCTAAGCCCATCAAGGGCATTAGGTGCAGGCAATGGAGTGAGGGTGCTGGAGTTTTCTGAAATTGCCTATGAGATGTTATCTGTTAAAGAGTATTAGCTAGGTCTGTTCTTCCTAGGAATTTTACCCAAAAGATATTCATTCAAAATTATTACCCAAGAACTGTTTTCTTAGGCCTAGCTCCTAGGGAAGCTTCACTAGATTACACTTGTTCTCCTGGATCTCCCATACTTGCTTTCACTCACTTTCCCTATAGATTTAATATAGGTTTCTAGAGTTTTTGGAATATAATAGTCATACTTTTTCGTATTTTTTCTTCCAAGGGGCACAAGCATCTGTGTGTCATAACCTCATTATTTTAGATTCCATCTTCTATTGAGACCTCTGTTTACAAGGAGACTTCAAAAAGTTCATGAACATATGGAGCTAAAAGCTTATTCTGGTGAAAAAACCTGAAATCCATGCATGGAGTTTTTGAAAAGTTCATGTTAAATGCATGTTATGAGCAAACTGCATGGATTTCAAAATTTTTGTGTCAAAATAAAATCATTTAATTGCATTTTCCACAAACTTTTTGGAGTATTCTGATGTGCTAGACACAGCTGCTAAACATGTAAGATCTCAATTTTCTCAAAATGCTTTATTTAGTTATAACCATTATTTTTGTTTAGAAATGATTGGATTTAAGTGCATAAAATATCCAAGTATAGTTTATAGAGAATTCAGAAAGCAAACACTCTATATGTCCCTTTAAGTTTAAGAAATACAATTTTGTCAGTCCTTGTTTGCCTTTGTGTGCCTTCCACAATCTCACTCCCCTCCTCCTCCTAGAAATAATCACTATCCTAAAGTTTGTTTAAACCATTGTCTTGTTTTCTTTAGTTTTGCCATTTATAGATGTATCCCTAGATAACATAGTAGTTGTACTTGTCTTTTTAAGGAAATATTTATTACAGAGAGAGAGAGGGAGAGAGAAAGAGAGAGAGAGAGAGGTGTCTCTCTTAACCTGTTTCACTCCCCAAATTCCTCCAACAGTTGTGGTTAGGCCAGGCCTAATACAGGACCTGAGAACTCAATTCAGGTCTCCCACATGGTTGCAGGGACCCACGTACTTGAGCCATCATCTGGTACCTCCCAGTATACAAATTAGCAAGAAAGTGGATAAGAAGCAGAGTGGGGCCTTGAACCCAGGCACTTGGATATGGCATGCAGGTATCTCAAGTGGCATCTTTGCTGAACCAAATGCCCAGCACTGGATTTGTTTCTTAAAATTTGATATAAATGGGATTCTATAATGAGAATTCTAAGATAATTTATCAATATTTTGAGATTCATCAATGTTAATGTGTGTAGCTATAGTTTATTTGTTACTATTAATAATATTTTATTAGGTGATTTTGCTACAATTTATTCTCTATTGGTGGATATTTGGGCTATTTCCATTTTACTTCACTTTTTGCTATTATGATTCTTGCACATACCTGATATATGAACATATCTCTGTATACATATGTATATATCTCTGTCTGCTGCCAGATAAACTAGAAAACTGAGGTCTGATCATAAAGCAATTTGCTTAATGAATTAAAGCCATAATTTGAACCCAGCAGTCCTAGAGTTTGTATTCTTAACCACAATACTCAATAGTAAAATTATCTATAAAAATTTTATGTATTTTTTCCAATATATATGTGTGTATATACATATACACACACACACACATATATATATACATATATATATATATATATAGAGAGAGAGAGAGAGAGATAGAAAGCTAGGGAGAGCACTATGAATACATGCACTAGCCAGGGAAGGGCCAGGCTGAGCTAGAAATCAAACTTGCTTCTCCCACATGGGCAGCAGGGTTCCAGTCACTTGAGCCACTGAATCAGCAGGAAGCTGGAACTGGGAGCAGAGCCTGAACTTGAACCCAGGCCCTCTGATACAAGATGTGGGTGTTCTAACTAATGTCTTAACCTCTAAGCAAATTGCCGTCCCCACAATATTCATTTTAAAGAAGAGGTTTTGGAGAATGTAAACCAATTTGCTTAAAAGAGTGGCAATTCAGCAAAGATCAGTCTGATTAATGCCTTTTATTTTTTGTCACCCAGAGTGTATATTATGCTTTTATTTGTTAAATGTTAACTGATCACAAGAAAATGAGTTCATACTTGGCAGGATTATCTTTTTTCCTAAAAGTGATCAGATGTCAAAATTTGAAAAGTATAGATTTTTAATTATATATATTTACTTTTTAAACAATTTACTTATTTATTTATTTGAGAGGTAGAGTTATAGACAGTGAGATGGAGAGACAGAGAGAAAGGTCTTCCATCTGCTGGTTCACTCCCCAAATGGCTGCAATGGCCGGAGCTGGGCCGATCCGAAGCCAGGAGCAGGAGCTTCTTCTGGGTCTCCCATGCAGGTGCAGGGGCCCAAACACTTGGGCCATCTTCTACTGCTTTTTCAGGCCATAGCAGAGAGCTGGATTGGAAGAGGAGCTGCCGGGACTCAAACAGGCACCCATATGGGACACTGGCGCTGCAGGCAGAGGCTTTAGCCCACTACGCCACAGCACCGGTGCCTATATATATATATATATATATATATATATATATATATATATATATATTTGCCTTACAGCTGTTATAGCACTTTCCCCTTTCAGAAATGACAAGAAAAATAGGCTTCCAGTGAAATGGAATTCTCTCTGTCTCTCCCTTTCTCTCTGTCTCTAACTCCCTCCCTTTCTTTCTCTTTTAGATTGCCAATTCTTTTTAGCATTGTCAACACTTATGAACTCATTTATTTTCGATGACAATTAAAAACAGTCAAACATAGCTCTAGATAAGTGAGACAAGTGCCCAGTAGATGTTTATGGTGCAACACTGACAAATTATAGATTGTTCC